GTTGTTATTTGCTGACGGCTGCCAGCTGCTGTGGATGGGTGACTTTCTGACCTCCCTGCCTTGACCTGAGGCTATTTTCATAGAACAAGTGATATGACAATAAGTACTTATCTACTCGTGTAAGTATTTCGTCGTTCATACATATTCCTCACTCTAAGTGTTGCCTAACTTTATGTGCAAGAATGATGGTCAAACCATCCGGGCGTTCCACGTGATCTGATTCACGATTACCTGAGTCAGCGTCCTCACCCCCACCGTGATTCGATCCGCGCAGACAGCACCGCCATCCTCTTACTTCACGGGGGGGGGGGTCATAGGTATCACCCGCAGCGCCTGCATGCAACCAACTGAACCTTTCACAATCCTACCGCTCGGCGAGGCCTGAGCGACCATCTCGCTGGAACATCACCGCTCTGATTCGATGTTGGCACACCATTTACGTAAGTGTTTAAGTGCTGCGTAGCTCCACTCTGTGAAAGGGACGGGATCTGTATGGACGCCGCCACTGCCCGTGATCCAAACAGCCCGCCGAAGTGGGCTCGGGGTCCGGGAGGAATTCCGGACCCGTTCGGACGCCATCACTCTCCCGGACGTGCGTGAACCGCTCTCCTTGGATAAGGCATGCGGCTGTTTACCGCAGGCACTGCACGGATCAATAGGAGCATCTGGGCGCTATTTTTCCAGCGGCTGGGCGGCGGGGTGAGGAGTGTTATTGAGTGGCCGGCAGTGGGGCCGGTTAGCCGGGTCTTCGCGGAATAGAGCCGCTAGCTCACCTCTCACCGGATGAAAACAAATGCCACCAACATCCCACTCTTATTTCCGTGCTCCTAATAAACCTTCCGATGCAATCTCTTCTTTCAACTGCACCGCCGCTTCATTTTTCTCGGGACCAGCGACCCTTCTGTAATAAGCGCAGCCTGTCGGGCGGCGCTCTAATAGGCCTTCAGGCGCTCTCGGCTCCGAGCTCGCCGGCTGAACACGGAATTAACAAGACCGTCCCCGTTCTCTGATGATGGCTGTCAGCTCAGTGCGACTGTCAAACTGAGAGCAGCGACAGCAGCCGGCGACTAACGAACAGACTGTGACGGCACCGGCTGTAGTGCGAGCCACGGGCCCACCGGGCCCCGCCGTGTGTGTGAGGCGGAACCGAGGGACCAGCCGTCCCTAACGAGATGGGAACAGAGCGCCGTCAGCTTCCCCACGGCCGGCACTGCTCTGGTGTTGAGCTGCAGCTGCAACTCGATACGGCGCAGCTGCACTGGCTGCTGGCCTATTGAAAGCTACAGCGCGGGCTCAATTAATCATTACACACCAGTGATTTGAAAGTTTTGCAGGCAAACACGGAACCGATCCAGCAGCTCCTGAGAGATCTGTCAGGATGAACGGGTGCTGCGCGGCGGATTATTTCACGGAAGGCATCTGCTTCGGGTACGATTTATCTCGGCTTGAGGCCGTTATACCAAATGATTATTTTTTCCTGTAATATAGCCTCGCCTTGATAATTTCAGCCGCTTTTTTGCCCAGGGTTTGCAATGCTAGTGGCCTGGGAACTGCAGTTACGAACACGGCTTTGCTAATTAAGGCATGAACAAAATTTCTGTCGATGCCGACAAAAACACAAATTCTGCAGAGTATCACATAAAGCTTCAACATCCTTCTTACAAGGAAGTTTCTCGCCAGGGATATGGTGGTGCGTTGCCGCACGCTAATCCATCCACTCGACAGAAGACGGCTTCAAACCAGCTCACCCGTCGGAGATCCTCTCACAGGCAGCTGGCTCTCGGCTCAAGGCGATCAAATGCGTCTGCGCCGAAACTGATCCGATTGCCGCTCGCGGAGGGCGGTCCTCGACTTCTGAGCCGTCCGTCGAGCGTCCTAGGCTCTGGGTAACTGTATCGGTCAGATGTGTCGACTGGAGCTCAGCTGGCCGCGCTGACAGGTCAGATGTGTTGACTGGAGCTCAGCTGGTCGCGCTGACAGGTGGGGCCCTTTGAACCGGTCCGGGCAGAGCGCCGGCCACACGGCTCGGCCTGACGAAGATGGCGGCCGCGGCTGGCCGGGCCGGCGCAGCGCGACCGGATTGCTCCGTATGTCGCCGTAAAAGCTGTCCGTATTGGCAGACTCTAACTTGTGGCGACATCGATTCCCCGGGCCGGCTCACTGACCCGCATGTTAAGCTACGACCGAGACTGTACGCCATTTCACTATTTCTGTGAGCGACGCTGCGGAAGTTTGCAACAACAATAGATACTGCGGTCAACTTTGGCAAATAAATCGTGAAATTTTAGGCCTTGTCTGGGAACTCGGTAAAGTTGAATTGCGGCTCACTGGCACGCAATAAGTTCGCGATTATTTCAAATTCCACAAACGACTTAGCTCGCTCGCCGGTGCCGCTCCCCCTCAGCTCGCTGCTGTTATGGCCAGCCTCCCCGCGGTGACGGTCGGATGATTTAGGAGCCGCTCCGACCGTCTGACCCCCTTCCCCCCTCGCCGCTTTGCGTGTCGGGCTACCCCGGTCTCCCAGCCGCGCCGCTGGACGGTGATTAGAGAGCCGGGCGGTGCTCTGAGGGTTCGGCCGGTGACGGCTACCGTGTCACCCCACCGCCGCGCCCACCTCAGCAGGGTCCGTGCATTTGGGGCTCGCCGCACTGCGGGGTGGACATTGCAGCGCTGCCGTCAACTCACCGGAGCTCGTCCGCCAGCTCACTGTATCTCGCCGCCAGCTCGCCGTATCTCGTCACCAGCTCATGCTCCCCGCTGTCATTCCCGCGCCGTCATCTCGCTATTCCCATGCCGTCACCGAACCATTCCCCCGCCGGCATCGTCCTTATTTCCATACCGTCATCGCGCCATTCCCCAGCCGCCATCGTCCTTATGGCCCTCATCGTCGATGCCATCTCTCCGCCCTGATCATTGGCGTCATTGGCGACCACTTGCGATGCGAGGAGACGTTCATCCCATACTGTACAGGGGTCACTATACGCTTCGACGTCCTTCTGGCTGTTCCCTCGACCGGCGGCCGCGGAGCTGGACAGGGAGCCGTTCTGTGGGACCCCGGCGACCCCCTGCGTCAGCCGGTGATCGCCCGCCTCCCCGGTGGTCTCGCAGTCTGCCCGGGCACTTGGCGGAATGAGAATGGCGGGTTTGATCGTCCGAATTAGTCCTTTACTGGTCCGCTGGCCGCGAACCCGCCCCCGGCCATTGCTCGAATAGTCGGCCACCGCATTTCGTTTCTGAGCCATCAGCTTTGATGGCCTTTCGAGCCGAGTGAGATTCTGCGGAGAGTCGGCCGCGCTCATGGAACGGAAGCTACGTGGGATCTTCCTTTTATGCTATTTGATGGACTTCGATAGAATAATTTTGGTGCAATATTCCGCACCAAACGTCGCTGATGCGCCAGATAATATTTGACTTTATTTTCAAGGCGCCTTCTGCATAGGCCTGATAAATGCATTTCGCGGCGCAGTAAACTTTTTATTGCAACACCATCTCATTCGAAGTTCTGCCGAGATATCGCCAGGCTGTTACAGAACGTCTGCGTAAATAACATTTAGTAGCCTTATCTTCCAGCTGCAGGTGCCGACTTATTTGCTTTGGTGGAAAATTTATTCGGAAAATGCGTAGTGGATCCGATGCCGTAAAACAGTCATGCAGAATGCATGTTTTAATTTTGAAATCCCCGTAACTTCTGTCCATTTCTAGCAAGGATGTTTTTTTTTGCAGGACGCTTCCGCGCTGTGTTGTCTTTGTGACCCGCATGATATGTTAAGTGATGCCTCCTATCAGTAGGTACCTACATCCAGTTCCTGGTCGTTTTAATCTTCAATCATTAACAGTCAAATGAACACGGCTTAATTAATACCACCTAGCTCCTGACTTTACAGTTCCGCCAGCAATTGAAAATTATACATTTTGCCTGCGTCTCAATGCCCGCCTGGTTCTGTTTGCATCAGACTCGCCTCCATATGTTTTCGTCAAATTGTTGTCCCTGCCCCGTGGACGCCGGCGGACGCGAGACCCAATCATACAGCTGTGTGGCGTCTATTTCCCCGAGGGCGAACCGTCCCCGACCTCTGCTGGGGCGGTGATGGGACGTGGCCGACCGCACTGATGGCCTGTCTCCGTCCCATCAGTCCCCTCTGCTCCATCGGAGAGGGAGCGTGCTCCGCCGGAGAGGGAGCGTGCTCCGCCGGAGAGGGAGCGGCGGCCCGTCCCCACAGCGACGGGGGAAACGCAGACCTCGCCCTCCCTCCTGCTGACACGGCCTGGTAATTTCTTTGGAGGAAAGACATGTCGAGACGTACTGTCTTCCTTTTTACCGATTATGTTATTTGAGCTAGGAGTAGTTTTTTTCATTTTTGATTCTGGGTCTTCTGCTGGTTGCGTCTTTAGTAGTTGGCGCAGAACGCATATCGCTGGCATGGCGAGAACGTATTCGCTGGAAATAAAACCGCCGCCGAATGGCCACTTGTGACTGGCAGAATCGCTCTCCCTGGGACGTATCTGCGTCGGTCGTCAACGGGGCGCGCTCAGCGCTCCGTCTCTGGGCCGGGGTGCGCGTCAGAAAGGTCTGCGCGGTGACCCCGGTCCGCCGGTCGGGGACGGGCTGGGACGGCCGGCGGTCACCGCCTGTAATTGACCTGACGCAGACGGAGCGTCGCCGGAGGTTCTGTCGTCTGAGCGGCGCCGGACACTCGCTCAGCGTCGGAGCTGGAGCGGCTGTTTGATAAAGGAGACGCGCTTAGCTTTGACGAGGCTCGTTAGCTGTATGGCTTGTGAGGCTGACCGGGATGGGCTGGACTGGGTTGTCTTGAGCAAGTTGTGTTCGCTTTTGCGCGATGTTTGTGGGGATGATATCCCATTTCTAGCCCGTTTTGTTTGTCCTTTATGACCCTCACATGTGTCGTATATTGTTTTTTTTTCAGCTGTGTTAATTCTCAATATCCGGCTTCCTGGTATCACCTGCAGTCTCTGACGGCCACCTTGTCCCTGTGTTTCAGGAGCTGGTTAACGGCCTGGTCCTGGACAAACGGAAACGGGATGACGACGATGAGTCGCCCGAGCTGAAAAAGGTGAAGCTAGACCCCCGGCTTGCTTGTCTACTGCAGGTACTTGACTCTGCCGCCCCGCCTCGCCTGGCTGACCCGATCGCGGCGCTGCTGGCTGCCAGGTTGGACTTGTTTGCTCTCCCGGCACTCGGCTGCTATTTTCAAACGGGATATTTCTTTTATCTGTTTGCTTTTCCCCTGAGGGTGGCTATTACCTTTCCATTTTGTGGAGGTTATGTGGTGAAATTAGCCGGCAGAATGGCGATGCTGGCCGTTTGGGACCGTCGTCAGCCATCATTTGAGGCTCGACAGCGGGGATGCACGGGCTCCCGATCACGAACCCTGCCCACCCTATCCAGAGAACTGCGCTATTCTCGGCACTTTTTTTTTGAACGATTTATAAGGTTCTAATCTCGTGGTAAATTTGAAGTATTTGTGCTAATCCCCCAAAAAACCGCAGGGACCTTTGCGTCATTGTACACTGCTAGCGAAAAGTCCGATTGTTTCACCTCCGGGGTACTGTCGGCGAGAATCGCCTCAGCTCCATCTGTGATCAATGTGCATTCGATAGGGTCTGCGCCGTAGTCGATGGTAATGCGTGCTGCGAGTTGGGATTGCGACAAAAGACCCAATCTGGTGGCACACAGCACTTGTCGGAACTACATAGTTGAGCCGGCCTAAGCGCTTTCCTCGTCTTGAGGGTAGTCGAGCACGTTAGAATAATAAGAACCGGCGGAGGAGGCAAATTATCGCTTTTATTGCCTATTATTACCTCGGTATCAGGAATAAATTAATTGACATTGGAATAAAAATAGCATATTGATCTTATTAAGCCAACAATTTTTTTCTAGCAGCTTTTGCCGCATGACTAAAGAATTGTGAAGGGGCGTAATTATCTGCAAAGTAACTCAATGTACGCAAACCAGTGATCTCTTGTTTCCCGTATGTATGATGTTGTCAATCATGTATCTGGCTGGCATGAACAGTTGTTAGCTCAAACAAAGGATATAATTGTGTCAACATTCCGTGCCGTCCCGGCGTGTGTCCCCCGGGGCCCGGTGCGCAGCTCTGTGCGTTCAGAGTCGGCCTCATTTCCCGGTTGGCCACGTCCCGTGGAAGGGGCTATGGGACAGAACGGAGGAGGAACAGCAGGGTGGTCCGTATGGGAGCGTCTCTCCGCGGTGGGTCGGGAGCGGCGGAGCAGAGGAGGGACAGTGAGGCAGTTCGTGTGAGGACGTCTCTCCGCGGTGGGTCGGGAGCGGCGGAGCGGAAGAGGGGCAGCGGGGTGGTCCGTATGGGAGCGTCTCTCCGCGGTGGGTCGGGAGCGGCAGAGCGGAGGTGATGCTCGATGGTCGACTGTATTTACCGGTCTGTCGACGTTACCAGCCAGGGAGCGAGACTTGTGACACGGGGGCGCCGCTGCTAGGTTACCGGGCGTGCCGTGGCGCATCAATGTACTCTGATGGCTGGTAAGGGTGGCCACTCTCCGTCAGTGTCCGGAGCCGCGTGACCTTGACCTCAGTGACTCCGGCGGCTGATACGGGCGGGCGGGATTCGATGTCATCCCGCGACCATCCGGAGGTGACGGGCCGGATTTATGGCGGTCGGTTGATATCGGCGGCTGCTGATCGGACCGCGGTGACCGACACGGCTTCAGAGAACATCGGAGCATCGTCCAGCCATACACCAGGGTGTGTGAGGACATCGTGCGGGCCCCAGCGAATGGCCCTTCACGCGGCCCCGGACCAGTATCGGTATTTGTGTCAATGATTGGAACTCGACGGAGCCTGTGCTCGACAAGTTCACAAGATTTTATTTGGCATCGCTAGGACGAAGTGCTGCGCAAGTGATCCGTTAATGGACGAGGAGAATTACTGGTGCTGCTAATGCTGAAGCCAAAATATTTTTATTTTTATTATACACTGAGAAAAAAAATTATTCCCCAGGGGTGTTTTACGGGTGTCAGACACCATTGGAGGTGTCATCGAACACCCAGATTGGTGTTGAAAAATACTGTTTAGGGAATCATTAAGGTGTACAACACCACGATGACACCCTTTTAAGTGTTCGTTCGCATGCGAGCGTTTAGATATACCTTAATGGGATTCAGCATGACACCTTAATAGGTGTCCGACACCCACACCCATCCGGGTATCAAACACTCTAAGGTATCAAACACCCTAAAAGGTGTCAAAAATGTTCTTTTAAAAGCATCTGACACCCTTATGATGCCTTCACAGGTGTTGTCATTTATTGAAGCGGAATGTTAAGAGTGTCCGACACTGCTAGAGGTGTCACATTGACACTTGCAAAAGGATCTGACACCAAAAACAGCGTGAAAAAAATGAGGAAAAATATTCCCATGGGGTGTCTCACGGGTGTCGGACATCATTGCAGTGTCATATATAACGCCCAGATTGGTGTCAAAATGTTGTTTTGGGAATCATGGAGGTGTACAACACCACGATGACAACCTTCAAGTGCAACCCGCTTTTAAACACACCATAATGGGATTCAGAAAGACACATTAATGGGTGTACTACACCAACATCCATTCGGGTGTCAAACACCCTAAACCTTCAACACTTAAAAAGGTGTTAAAAAATGTTCCTTAAAAGGGATCTGATAACCTTGTGATACCTTCACGTGTGTTGTCATTTGTTGAGGAACATTCCAGCATGAGTCATGAAATGTTTGAAAGCTGTCGTGTATTCGAACCTAAATCATCACATAAATTGTTCTGACGTCACTTGTGTTAGGAACCAGGGATGCGGTGTCTAACGGATTTTCAGTGACTCGGACTCCCGCTCTGTCTTCCAAAATGGACTCCTATTCCGGCCAGAACTGCCAACTCCATCAGACTCCGACTCTGACTCCGTAGCACTGCTAGAAACCACAGCAGGTCCAGTGGTTTGAATCATTACCCAATCAGCAAGCTGCATTGTGTGACGTCATTTGTGTGCTGGTCACGCGGCGTCAACCATGCGAAGATCAAAAAGCGCCACCTTGCAGGAAAGCCGTTAGATTTCAGTTGGCGGCCGTAGGCGGCGGCGTGGCCACGTGGTGCGTGTGTGGTGTGAGTGATGGCAGGGCTTTTTTGAATTTATGTGGATATAGTGGCGCCGAACGTTGTTCGCAGTGTACTTCTTCAAGTGATTGTGCGTTAATGATAATGTTTAGCTTTTATTTGTAGCTTGCTCCGTGTTTATTCAAATGACGAGGCGGGCGGTACTCGGTGAAATTTGAAGTCTGGAGTGAGGATGACAACACAGCATTGCACCATGGAAACGAAAGCAAGTGAACTGCGCGGAATAACATCTGGTTGGAGATAATCGACGGTTAATTATCATTGCTGAAATGCGAGCAACTTCTCACTGTGAATGGACCCGATGTGTTTCGGTGAGTTTTCATTGGATTTCTCCGTAAATATAGAGCCCATATTTTTTGTACTTTATAGTTTGTTGCTGTATACAAGATAGGAATGCCATGTATGTATGCGATATGCCTGTTTGAACCAATAAATGTAAGAATGTGTCGACACCTTTTTTGGCATCCAATGGACACTCTCGTAACACCTTTAAGGGTGTGTACCAAACTGCACCTCGCTGGGGTGTCAGACGGGTGTCACTTTTGACACCAATACAGGTGTCATTGGGAATCAAACACCGGGTGTCTGACACCCTTTTGGGTGTGCACCCAAAAGGGTGTCAGACACCTAAAAGGGTGTCAGACACCCGGTGTTTCATTCCCAATGACACCTGTATTGGTGTCAAAAGTGACACCCGTCTGACACCCCAGCGAGGTGCAGTTTGGTACACACCCTTAAAGGTGTTCCAGGGGAATATTTTTTTCTCAGTGTAAAGCTGATATACCAAGCAATATTTCGTAAATAGCGTTCCAAAACAAATTGCTCAGAAAGCTGCTTTTGTCTAATCCTGCCTATAGTAAGCTGGTTCTTCTCGCAGTCGCTTAGTAGCCCGAACTATACGGAAAGTTGCCGTTTATTGAGGAAGCCAAAATGCAGGGATATAATGAGCACAAAGGGCCTGTGCCTGTGGCGGGAGCTTTCATAAACACATCTTAGTATTTAATATTGATTATTTTTGCTCGAAAGATGACACGATTCTGTTTGTGCCAAATTTAGAGGAAGTTTCCGCCGTGGTGCTGGGGTGCGCGCCGCCCTGGTCGGCAGCGCCGTGCTGGCTGCCACTGCTGTCTTGTACCCGTCTCTGCAGTGGCTCCAGCGGCGTGCCCCGTCTCTGGTGGCTCCGGCGGCGGTGTGCCCCGTCTTTCGCGGCGGTATTGCGGCCGGTACGCACCACCCGGAAACAATCCGTCGGTCGCAGAGGCTGGCCGACTTGTGCGGGCACTGCCATCGACTTGGACAATCAGCAGCTCCGGGCTCCTGTGGGGAGATCGGCTCGACCCTGCCAGCTCGACCCTACGCCGAAAAAAAGTATTTTATTTCGTTTTGTTTCAATCTGAAAGCATGTGTTCACGGTAATGCTTGCAGTTGACCTGCAATATCGGCCACACCGCAGTCGTGTGTTGGTCATGCAAACCCTCTTCTTTCCATCCAAAATTTAGCCTCAACAGTGATGATGCCAACCGCTCGGTGAAATCTCCGAGTGCGCCGCCGCCGTCCCTTTGTTTCGCTAATAAGAGGACGACCGAGGCCCTCCTCTGTCGAATGTGCTGAACTCAACCCAAACCTGGGACGAAGAGTCGTGCTGCTGGCCTCTCGCTCTCGTGCCGATTTGACCTGCCGCCCTCAGTTGTTTCTTTGTTCGTTTTTTGTCGTTATATGTTGTCAGAGGGAGAGCTGGCGGGCGGTGATCGGAGGCAGATACGGATCTCAGTTTTATTCGTTCTGATTGCTGTCAGCTCGACAGTCTGGAGTCCTCGAGATGGCGAGATTCGGCAGCGCTGTTTCGAGTTGGTTGGATTAGGTCACAGATGATGCCAAAGTCTGTGGTGCTCGGCATTCAGTGCGCCGGTTCGGATTCAGTCTGCTCGCCATTTCCCAGCCTATTGGAGTCGCAGCAGCTGTGCACTCATCC